AATTTCTAGAACGTTCATTATTTGATTCAAGCTGTTTCAAGGAGATTTTTGATCCTGTAAAAGAAACATTGACTCTCTAGACACCAGTACTAGGAATATAAATTTATGTATATTTATACATAGAAGGAGTTAACTTTAGTGGAAAAGTCTAGATTTACATTGCTGTTGCTGAACCAGAATTTGTTTCTCACCTAATAGATGTGCAACATGACGCAATAAGGCCAGACCAGAACTGCTTCACGGTAAGAAAACAAAAGTCACTATATACGATCACACGTGTTGACTATATAGCCCAATATGCTGATCTTTGTAAGTTCCAAACGCTTTTAAAAACGCTTTTACACTTACCAGGGAAAAACAATAGAGGAAACCAGCCCAAAAGAGGATTTCTTCCTTACATCTGCTAAGTAGTATCTGTCTTACAACTAGAGGCCGTGATAAAAATGTACTGCCTGTAACTACGGACTTTCTCATTCCCACATGAACACTGACACCTCTACTGAATCCTTCAAGGTTTTCAACCTTAAAGGAAGTTTGTAGCAATGGATTCTCTAGGAGAATAATGTGCTGTGCAAGAAAGTATTTCCTTCCATCAATATTATCTGTAATGCCTTTCAATTTCACTGAATTTCTCCCTCCTCTTAAAAATGGAATTGGCTAATTAGAAATTTCCAATTTATATCCTCTGTTTTCTTTATTTTATGTACTCTATCATACTCCTTCTTGCTTGCCTCCTTTCTGGAATAAAGAATTCAGAGCCTGTCAGTCTTCTTTGGGAATAATTTCATAGATATTCATGTACAATATTAGTGGAATGGTCTGATAACTCCAACCAACAATGCCTTTGAAATCTCAAAACTCATTCCACATTTTATGATCAGGCTACATTCAATTAAAATTAGTGATACTGATAGATGAAGTAGCAGTTCTGGGGTAAGTCATTTTTACATTGCATGCTCATTCAGGAGCAGATTGTTAACTGATTTTTTGAGTAAGTAAATTTTATCTCTCCTAATAAAATCCAACTTTCTCACTAAGATTGAAGCAAAGAAGACTAATATACAAGCACTGAAACCTTTTTACCTAATGTATTTTGATTTCATTATATTTGGAAATAAATCTTGGGTCTTCCCCTGCAGTCAATATTTAAACTTTATCAAATGAAGGGGAACTTGATGGCCTGCTTTCGATGAGAAATTTTGCTTTTAATAAATCTTTTCTTAATGCCTGCCTCCTCACTTTTGGATTCCAATAGCTTCTAAATAAGCAAAGCCAGAGCAAGATTCCCTTCTCACTGTACTAATGTAAAATGGTCACCCATTATATCTAGTGGACTTATTTCAGTTTCTTCATAATGAGATAGTACCTTTATGACAATACAGGCATTGAAGGTAAAACAGGACAAAACATTAGCTTGAGAGCAATGTCTTTGTATCTTGTACCTACAGTATAGTAGGTACAGTACTATACCTACAATATAGTGGTGTGTGATATGATTTAATTTCACAGTGTTTACAGTTTAAATTTCTAGGAGAAAGGACAATCTGCAAGTGTGAAAAATTACCAATTATAACATTTAAAATAGAAGCAGCAATGGAAATGTCAGCAATCTGACTGGGACATCAGAGATTTTTGTAATGATGAATAAGGAACATTTCACTGCAGACTAGGAGAGAAGCTTAGGGTCATTTTTCAAGGCTTGAAGAATTTCCCAAGGAAAATTCTTCTATGTTCATTTTTCTTCTGTCCCTTCAATTACTGTCGGAACTTATTGTGGTCTTTCTAATAGCTTCCATGAGCTTTGAATACCATTTGTTCTCACGAGACCATAAGCACAAAGATACTTTGGTCTAAGTCCTGTTGAAATCAGTGGGAGCTGGGCATTGTTATGTCACTATTGATCTGGATCTGTGGGCTTAGGCATGATATAAAGTATTTATTAAATCATTGATTTTCTGGAAAAGATAGGTTTTCTGGAGGAGATAGGGCTGTACCATATAAATATTGTTCATGTAGTTGGTCAATAGTCCTCTGACATAGCCATAATCTTCAAATTGGCTGATATAGTCCCTGACCAGTTGCAAGCCTTGAAATAAAGAAGATTTAGGAAGTGGCAGATTTGATAGTATAAGAAATTTCAGTTTATTAGTCATACTGGATTAAGATCGAGAAAAAAAAAGATTCAGTGTAGCACAAAAATAAATCAGAACATTTTCAGACATTCCCTCAGAGGAAATGTGGCTTATTTATGAGTTCATAGGCAAAAATGCAGCGGAGAGTTTTATATATATATATGTGTGTGTATATATATACATATATATATATATATATAAAGATGGAGGAAAAACTACTGTTGCACTAATACAAACTGATAAGAATATGTATTGCCAGGGTTTTGCAACTGACCAAAACAACCAAATATATGAATACAGATAGGTAGGTAGGTAGGTAGGTAGTGATATCCTTTCCAGCTGAAACAGGAGACTCTAGTAAGAAACAATGTATAAAAAGAGATATGAAAAGAAGTGTTATGGAGTGGATAAGACAGAAACCTTCAGTTCATAAGAACAAATTAGCTTGGGGATGAAAAAATAAATAAGGACTAAACAGATCTTTTGTAGTCTTTGTTAGTCTTATTATCTTACTTTTCATTGCTAGCTGGCAATAAAGAGAAATCATTTAAAAAAAAAAAACAAAGCAAACATCTCAAACAACACATACAGAGGAATGAATGACACCTCAGTTGAAAATTAGGCCTCTGCACACCTGTAATAAAAATTATACATAGGGGCAAATCCTCCAGCTAATAAAAAACAGGTTCTCTGCAAGACCAGTTCAGAAATACTACACCATTTTCAAAGCTCAAGCACTGTCTTTTCAGCATGTCTGTATTATAGTGGGGAGGTAAAGAGCTTTTCTCTACTCCATTGATTTGTCCTATAAAAGAAGGAATTGCAATTGCAATTCTTCTCTCCGCAAGTTTAAGTGGCTGCGCTCCCCTTCACTCCTTTAAGAGATCCATAGTAAGCAGGGAGCCTGCAACAGGCACAGGTTCCCCCTTTGCACCCCAGGCCTGGAGGAATGACAGCAAGGAGTGTTAAGTTATACCCCATAAAGCAAATGTAGAGAACTGCATTGCACACTAAAGTATTTACAGTTGCTTATTTTCACCTACAGTGAGGTGAAGGTTGCTTTTCCTGATGTGATGTAACTCAGCACCATTCCTAATCCCAAGCCCCTTATAGGCTCAGTTGAAGCCTTCATTAACAAGTTGCCAAGAATTAACATTTTGGCCCATTTCAGCTTTTAACTGCCAATACTGGTTCATATTTTTGCAAGCTGAAAGAAGGATACTTACTCTGTAGGCAGGTGCAACTTGTTGGGTGACCAGCTGAGTCATTTTTGGGTGTACAGCAGATAAAATCTCCTGTAGACAATTTTATGGACACATCAGGCCTCTCGACTGTATTGTGCATCCATCTCGTTTCCCCTTTGTCTGAATCACGTTTTTAGAATGGAGCTTCTTTTGGGAAGATGTTTCTGTAAACACAGGAATAAGATATTGCCTACTTTCCAAAGTTAATTGCTTTTTTAAAGCGTGGACATGAGGAAGGTGGCAGAGGGTGGGATGTGACTTAAAAGCAGATGGAAATACAGAAGAACAGTTGCTTAGCACCTATGAAAGTCAGGCCCACTTCTTCACAAGATATATATGTACTTAGGTATCCATATTTAGGCATTCACGTTTCAATTTTGGCCTCTAACTGACCTAAATCCATCCCAGGCTTTTTGAATGCAGTTGATGATTAAAGAAACAAAGGTATCCTAAGAACCTCGCTGCGGTCCTGGCAGTAATCAGTTCTGCACTCATGGACAGCTTTTGTTCTACCTATGCTCCTGTTGGGAGCTTTGCCATCTATTAATGAATGAAGCACAGGGATCAGAAAAAAGCGCTGTAGAAACTTAATTCTAAGATGATTTCTCAGCCAGTGGGACAATAAAAGATCAGCCAGCAGCTTTCTTGCCTTTGTGTGAGTAAGAGATGCAAATTAAAGATTGCAGTCAGAGACTATTATTCAACCTAGATTATTTTATGTGGCCATGGGTATGTTTTGGAACAGGTCTATAGCATCTATTTATCCAGGACTGAATTGATGCAATGAAGCAGGATACAGAGAGACAGACCAAGCATTTGAAATAATTAAAAAAAAAAAAAAAGCAATCCTAGATTGACAGTCAAGAAGAATGTGCTCAAAACCACTTGGAAGCTGAAAACGTTTATTTTACATTCTACTCTATTTCTTCCTCATTAAGGAAAACTCACCTGATAAAAAGAGCAGGAGATCACCCTGCCTAATGACACAGATAAGGGAGGAAAACAGACGCTTTTAATTCCCATAAGCATCTCCTGCCTTTGTCTCAGCCTGCTTTTTATGCCTGGATTATGCTAACACTATTAATCTTTGTGTCTGTGACTAACTCCTGGGCTTTTATGTTAGTGACCTGATTCTGCACTAACATGCTCCTCCCAGTTTGGTGAAGCTCCCCATGTGATCTATTCTTCCCCCTAAATAAAGTTGAAAAATTTGGCTGGGATCAGTGAGTGCTGCTGAGGTGGCTGGTGTGTGCAGCTATTCCGCCCTCCCCAAGTCTGCAGCACAAATAAGGCGCCTGTTCAGCATTATCCGCCTCTCGGTTTTAAAGACCAAAGGGGGACGAGACCGGGCAGTTAACAAGGTATCAGGCTACCTCCAAGACCAGGCTTCGCCGTGGGCTCTCAGTCTTGCCACCCCCGAGCAGCCTCCCCTTTTGAAAGTAGCCCAGCGGGCTGAGGAAGATGTGGCCGGAGGAGGTGAGTGCTGCATGGTTATGATGAATCCTTTGTGCAGAACCGGAGGCTCGTTAGGAAGTGGTGGAAGGAGGAGGTAGCGGTCGCAATTAAAAAATAAAAATTAAAAAAAAAAAGAATCAAAAGCCTCCTTTCCGTCCCCTGCTGCGCAAAGGGCAAACGGCACTTTGTGCTCCTTTCAGAGGGAATCTGCCTAACGAGTTGAATTCCCGACAAAGTGCTCCCGGCGTAGAGGCTGGCGGGGCAAAGCCCGAGCATCGGAAGCCGCCTGCGCAAGTCGTGCCTTTGTCCGGCCGGGCAG